TCGTCAAAATTGTTGAATCGTGTGGCGTAGTACAGCATGTCAAGTGATAATTTATGGCGCAGTACTTCGCAACGATCAAAAAAATTATTACATATTCCAAATACTTCACTCACTCATACACATTCGCAAAACAAATAAAAATATAAGCCCGGATTGTGGGCAAACTTTATTAAAACGTTTTAGCCAAAGGCCCTCCCTTGTACCTTCGGTACTGTGGGAGATTAGCCTAACTATTGAGAAGAAAAAAATGTTTTCAAACATGTTTGGGTTGATGATACTTTATTGAAATGACATTAATTTACAAAGTTATAGAATACAACATGGTAATATTTCTACATTTACCACCATCTTCCTCTTTGAATCTTAAATGAATTTCTTCTTGCTAATTTTGCAACAATCCAAAATAACATACCTGGATGCTTACGCTCAAGCAAAGATTTTGCATCTTCCAATTGCTTATTTTTTTCAAAATACAAAAGAGCGGTCGTGTCATCCACCCAGTGCCATCTACCAAATAATCCCAATTCACAAAAACATTCCATCAGTGTTTCATTTCTATAACGCCAATCCTTAATAATATTACCACTGATCTCAAGAGTATATTTATTATTTGTGTAATTAAGTCCTATGATATATATAAAAGACTTGTAGTAATTATCCAATGACACATAAGACAAAATTCTTCTAAGTTCACTAGACATTCCTGTGGGAAACAAACTTGATCCATCCCAGAACCATGTTTCAATCTTCCAATTTTCTTCTTTGGCTTCCTCTAATAGAGGAACATAGTCGCTATCGCCAGCGACTAGCAATAACGTAGAAGGTTTTTTAGTAAATATGGAACGCATTGCACGGCAAACAAGTTTTGTGTCAACCTTTTTCTCTTTGTTTGATGCGTTTCGTTTGTAAGTTTTTACTTCACAACCATGAAGCTTAGCTCAGTCCCACAATGTATCATTAGGTGGCGGAACAGAGCCGACAATAAAAGTATTGCCTATTTTTCGTCCATTTAAAACTGTTGTGACAAGTAGAACATGATCTACATAAAAATCAAGGAAGTTTGATTGCTTGTTGTCATAGACATTCACATTTTCTAATTGACCAACAACTTTCGAACCCTCAATAAAGAGGTTAGAGTTATCGATAAAAACGTGAACAGAATTGTCTAGAGATATTGTTAAAGAAAAGAGATTCCTTTCATAAGTATAATAAAACCAATAAAACCAGGTTGACAAACGAAATAAAGATTATAAAAGTAAACCATATAGTGTTAACTGATTTTATCGTGACTCACTCACCAGTGAAAATGAGTTGCTCTAAGATAACGCGAATGTGTTTTTTGGGCGGGTTTGGCGATAAGAAGCAGGAAAGAAAAGCACAAGAATAAGTAAGTATTTGGTATTAT